GCCATGATTCAGTGCTTGATGATTGACAGCAGTGATGAGGTGCATCGTTGTGCTTCAGAGGTCGTGTCGTTGTGCGTCAGAGGTCATGTCGTTGTGTCTTCAGAGGTCAGAGGTCGTGTCGTTGTGCCTTTAGAGGTCAGAGGTTGTGTCGTTGTGCTTCAGAGGTCGTGTCGTTGTGTCTTCAGAGGTCGTGTCGTTGTGCCTTTAGAGGTCAGAGGTTGTGTCGTTGTGCCTTTAGAGGTCAGAGGTTGTGTCGTTGTGTCTTCAGAGGTCGTGTCGTTGTGTCTTCAGAGGTCAGAGGTCGTGTCGTTGTGTCTTCAGAGGTTGTTTCGTTGTGCCGTCAGAGGTCGTGTCGTTGTGCCTTTAGAGGTCAGAGGTCGTGTCGTTGTGTCTTCAGAGGTCGTGTCGTTGTGCCTTTAGAGGTCAGAGGTTGTGTCGTTGTGCCTTTAGAGGTCAGAGGTCGTGTCGTTGTGTCTTCAGAGGTCGTGTCGTTGTGTCTTCAGAGGTCAGAGGTCGTGTCGTTGTGTCTTCAGAGGTTGTTTCGTTGTGTCTTCAGAGGTCGTGTCGTTGTGTCTTCAGAGGTCAAGAGGTTGTGTCGTTGTGCTTCAGAGGTTGTGTCGTTGTGCTTCATAGCTCAGAGGTCGTGTCGTTGTGTCTTCAGAGGTCGTGTCGTTGTGCCGTCAGAGGTCGTGTCGTTGTGCTTCAGAGGTCGTGTCGTTGTGTCTTCAGAGGTCAGAGGTCGTGTCGCTGTGCCGTCAGAGGTCGTGTCGTTGTGTCGTCAGAGGTCGTGTCGCTGTGCCTTCAGAGGTCGTGTCGTTGTGTCTTCAGAGGTCGTGTCGTTGTGTCTTCAGAGGTCGTGTCGTTGTGTCTTCAGAGGTCAGAGGTCGTGTCGCTGTGCCATCAGAGGTCGTGTCGTTGTGTCTTCAGAGGTCGTGTCGTTGTGTCTTCAGAGGTCGTGTCGCTGTGCCATCAGAGGTCGTGTCGTTGTGTCTTCAGAGGTCGTGTCGTTGTGTCTTCAGAGGTCGTGTCGTTGTCTCTTCAGAGGTCAGAGGTCGTGTCGCTGTGCCGTCAGAGGTCGTGTCGTTGTGTCGTCAGAGGTCGTGTCGCTGTGCCTTTAGAGGTCGTGTCGCTGTGTCTTGAGACGTCGTGTCGTTGTGTCGTCAGAGGTCGTGTCGCTGTGCCTTCAGAGGTCGTGTCGTTGTGTCTTCAGAGGTCAGAGGTCGTGTCGCTGTGCCGTCAGAGGTCGTGTCGCTGTGCCGTCAGATGTCGTGTCGTTGTGTCTTCAGAGGTCAGAGGTCGTGTCGCTGTGCCGTCAGAGGTCGTGTCGTTGTGTCTTCAGAGGTCAGAGGTCGTGTCGCTGTGCCGTCAGAGGTCGTGTCGTTGTGTCTTCAGAGGTCAGAAGTCGTGTCGTTGTGTCTTCAGAGGTCATAGGTCGTGTCGCTGTGCCGTCAGAGGTCGTGTCGTTGTGTCGTCAGAGGTCGTGTCGCTGTGCCTTCAGAGGTCGTGTCGTTGTGTCTTCAGAGGTCAGAGGTCGTGTCGCTGTGCCATCAGAGGTCGTGTCGTTGTGTCGTCAGAGGTCGTGTCGCTGTGCCTTCAGAGGTCGTGTCGTTGTGTCTTCAGAGGTCAGAAGTCGTGTCGTTGTGTCTTCAGAGGTCAGAGGTCGTGTCGCTGTGCCATCAGAGGTCGTGTCGTTGTGTCGTCAGAGGTCGTGTCGCTGTGCCTTCAGAGGTCGTGTCGTTGTGTCTTCAGAGGTCAGAAGTCGTGTCGTTGTGTCTTCAGAGGTCAGAGGTCGTGTCGCTGTGCCATCAGAGGTCGTGTCGTTGTGTCGTCAGAGGTCGTGTCGCTGTGCCTTCAGAGGTCGTGTCGTTGTGTCTTCAGAGGTCAGAGGTCGTGTCGTTGTGCCGTCAGAGGTCGTTTCATTGTGCCGTCAGAGGTCGTGTCGTTGTGTCTTCAGAGGTCAGAGGTAGTGTCGTTGTGTCTTCAGAGGTCAGAGGTCGTGTCACTGTGCCGTCAGAGGTCGTGTCGTTGTGTCTTCAGAGGTCAGAGGTCGTGTCGCTGTGCCGTCAGAGGTCGTGTCGCTGTGCCGTCAGAGGTCGTGTCGTTGTGTCTTCAGAGGTCAAGAGGTCGTGTCGTTGTGTCTTCAGAGGTCAGAGGTCGTGTCGCTGTGCCATCAGAGGTCGTGTCGTTGTGTCTTCAGAGGTCAGAAGTCGTGTCGTTGTGTCTTCAGAGGTCAGAGGTCGTGTCGCTGTGCCATCAGAGGTCGTGTCGTTGTGTCTTCAGAGGTCAGAAGTCGTGTCGTTGTGTCTTCAGAGGTCAGAGGTCGTGTCGCTGTGCCATCAGAGGTCGTGTCGTTGTGTCGTCAGAGGTCGTGTCGCTGTGCCTTCAGAGGTCGTGTCGTTGTGTCTTCAGAGGTCAGAGGTCGTGTCGTTGTGCCGTCAGAGGTCGGTTCATTGTGCCGTCAGAGGTCGTGTCGTTGTGTCTTCAGAGGTCAGAGGTAGTGTCGTTGTGTCTTCAGAGGTCAGAGGTCGTGTCACTGTGCCGTCAGAGGTCGTGTCGTTGTGTCTTCAGAGGTCAGAGGTCGTGTCGTTGTGTCTTCAGAGGTCAGAGGTCGTGTCGCTGTGCCGTCAGAGGTCGTGTCGTTGTGTCTTCAGAGGTCAAGAGGTCGTGTCGTTGTGTCTTCAGAGGTCAAGAGGTCGTGTCGTTGTGTCTTCAGAGGTCAGAGGTCGTGTCGCTGTGCCGTCAGAGGTCAGAGTTCGTGTCGCTGTGCCGTCAGAGGTCAAGAGGTCGTGTCGTTGTGTCTTCAGAGGTCAAGAGGTAGTGTCGTTGTGTCTTCACAGGTCAGAGGTCGTGTTGTTGTGTCTTCAGAGGTCAGAGGTCGTGTCGTTGTGCCGTCAGAGGTCGTGTTGGTGTGCCGTCAGAGGTCGTGTCGTTGTGCCTTCAGAGGTCAGAGGTCGTGTTGTTGTGCCTTCAGAGGTCAGAGGTCGTGTCGTTGTGTCTTCACAGGTCAGAGGTCGTGTTGTTGTGCCTTCAGAGGTCAGAGGTCGTGTTGTTGTGCCGTCAGAGGTCGTGTCGTTGTGCCGTCAGAGGTCGTGTTGTTGTGCCTTCAGAGGTCAGAGGTCGTGTTGTTGTGCCGTCAGAGGTCGTGTCGTTGTGCCGTCAGAGGTCGTGTTGTTGTGCCGTCAGAGGTCGTGTCGTTGTGCCTTCAGAGGTCAGAGGTCGTGTTGTTGTGCCGTCAGAGGTCGTGTCGTTGTGCCGTCAGAGGTCGTGTTGTTGTGCCGTCAGAGGTCGTGTCGTTGTGCCTTCAGAGGTCAGAGGTCGTGTTGTTGTGCCTTCACAGGTCAGAGGTCGTGTTGTTGTGCCTTCAGAGGTCAGAGGTCGTGTTGTTGTGCCGTCAGAGGTCGTGTCGTTGTGCCTTCAGAGGTCAGAGGTCGTGTTGTTGTGCCGTCAGAGGTCGTGTCGCTGTGTCTTCAGAGGTCGTGTCGCTGTGCCGTCAGAGGTCGTGTCGTGTTGACCGAGAGCAGCGAGAGCTTCAGACGAGGTAAAGCACAGTAACTACACGTTCAGTCTGAGTTCTGCGTCAGACATGCTTCATTTACTCTGCTTTTCTTTGTTTCAGTGTGTGTGTTGTGTTCTTGTTGGGCAGAACGTGAGTTTGCAGGGGATTGTGGGAAACCCTCCCTGGAGGAAGCACGCAGGCTTACAGAAGCGTCTCCTGATCCGGACCCGTCGATGGTGAGCGGCTTGTGACTCTGTCAGATGTGCTTCACACGCGACTGAAGATTGTTGGTTTTAGACGCTCGTCAGAGTGAAGGGAATGAAATATTAAGCAGCTGATTAAAGCTCTACAATAGTCTGGCCTGGTTTTGCACGGACAGATGTTTCCCCGAGGCGGATCAGGGTTTGGTCTGAAGAATGTGTGAGGGTTTCAGGAAGCGTCTCAGATTCATCCCATCAATCCAGTGAAAACACGCTTTAATTTGCACAAACTCTGAGGTGAGATCTCTGAAACTCACAGCAAACTCTCCATATCCACAAACCTGTCCTTATTCAGAAACCAAATGTTAACAGATTTATTGATTAACCATATTGTAAAGTGTTAGTTACACAATCTTTTTATTGTGGTTTGTTATTGTGTGTTTCAGATGTGAGGAAGTGAAGCTCGTAATGAGACGATCATGAATCAGTGAATCACGTCTGAACAGATCAGAGTCACTGAAGCTTCACAGCAGACGCTCATTATTACTGGCCTTCATTCACTGTAGAGCTGCTGTGTAGTCAGAGCAGATATAAGAGGTGTGTGTGTGTGTGTGTGTGTGATAGAGAGAGAGTGTGTGTGTGTGTGTGTGAGATGGGTAGGTTTAGGGGTCGGGTTAGTGTAAGGGGACAGAATATACAGTTTGCACGGTATAAAAGTGGGTTAGAGTTACACACACACAAACACACTCTCTCTCTCACACACACACAAACACACTCTCTCTCTCACACACACACACACACACACACTCTCTCTCTCTCTCACACACACACACACACACAAACACACACACTCTCTCTCTCTCTCTCTCTCTCTCACACACACATAAACACACACACACACATACACACACACACAGACACACTCTCTCTCTCACACACACACACACACACACACACACACACACACACACACTCACTCACACACATGTGTTCAGTCTGTGATACTCAGACCTGCCCGGACCTGGATGTGATTAATACATTAGTGACGCTGTGTGTGTGTGTGTGTGTGAGAGAGAGAGTGTGTGTGTGTGTGTGTGTGTGTGTGTGTGTCTGTGTGTGTGTATCTGTGTGTGTGTGTCTGTGTCTGTGTCTGTGTGTGTGTGTGAGTGAGTGAGTGAGAGCGTTTGCATCCATCAGTATGAGTTCATCTCAGTTCTCTCTCTTGTGTGGTTATGGGATGGTAATGAGGTCAGGGAAGCTCCGCCCAGTGGGAGGAGTCACAGTGACACATCAATCAGCTCTTTCCCTGCAGATCCTGCTTTTCCTGCATTATGCTCCTGTTTTTACACGACATCAACAAAACACCTGGAACCAGAGCCAAAACATCACAGTCTCCCTCTCTCTCTCTCTCTCTCTCTCCCTCTCTCACACACACACACACACACACACACACAGCAGAAGTTTTCCCTGGAACGAGGACGGAGTGAGTTAATGGGTCCGGGATCGGATCGGATCCGATGATGTGGTTTCGGACTCTCCTGCTGCTGGGATTCCTGCTGGACGTGTGTTATGGATATTCCTCTGAGGATGAGGATTATTACATGCAGGAGCTTCTGAGTCGGGAACATTACCAGCGGATCCCGGAGAGCGGAGAGACTCCCGGACGGGGAATCGGGAAGGAGAGCAGATCCACATCAGGTAAAGCCAGAACATGTGCAAACCTGTGCGCTTGTGTTCCAGGATCCGTCGCACACTGAGCCGTCTCCAGTGATCAGCTCTACTGGAGTGAAACATTCATGACTGGGAAAGTGTGATGCTGGTTTCTGGCAGCAGATGCTGATCGATCTTCCGTCAGGAACACGGCTCCGCAACTGATCGACTTCTTCAACACCAGGGGATATGGAGTGTTTCTCCCTGGTTTAAAGCTTTCAGTTTGTCTATTTATTTTGCTCTCCTAAAGACACACCGTTAGATTTAACTTTATAACTTGAATTTGACATAATTGTCTCCCTGCTGTCAGTGACCTACACGGCAAACAAATCTAGATTTTCTTATAGTATTTTTGTCTTGTTTTCCAGTACAAATAATCTAAAAGATCCATTTACTGGAGAAGCTAAATATTCATTTTGATCAGTTTCTCAGAAAGCAAGACTTCTCATTTTCCATCTCCAAGTCATCTTCATTTCTACAGCGCTTTATACAGTACAGATCGTCTCAGAGAAGATTCAGAATTAAACAGGAAAATAACAGAATCAATGATGCAAACTGTTCAATTCTGCTGTAAAGCAGCTCTACACAGAAAACTGTCATTATTCAGTTCAGTTAAATAAGTGTGTGAAGATCTTCAATTATGAAATGAGTTCAATTCATCTATAAAGCAGCTGTGGAGAAAACAGTGATGTCATCATCAGCTGGTGTCAGATCCATAATATTGCCAAATATGAAGTAAATGCATCTTGATTTAAGAATATTTGTACTGAAAAACAAGAAAAAGAAGTGCTTTATTTTTGCAGTGCATCTGAACACATTCATGGCAGTTCTATGAACAAACTGATTCACTTTCATTTGACCGTCATACTCTTTATGCAAATCAGCACGTCATGATCATTAATCAAGTATGCGACAGCATATATTCAAGTATGGTTTCAGATGGACTGTCATTGAAGTGAAAATGTAGACGATGCGAGTAACAATTGATTCGTTTGATGAAGATGAATCTGTGATCAGTCATGAGTCTCTGATCCGCTGAGATCGTGTTTGACTCTCGCTGTCGATTATTAAGAAAGAATTTGAATTTGAAATTATTGTTGAGGATAACCCCTTGAGATGAAACATCTCGTTTTCGAGAAAGAAAGAAAGAAAGAAAGACTCTCGCTGTCGATTATTAAGAAAGAAAGAAAGACTCGCTGTCGATTATTAAGAAAGAAAGAAAGACTCACTGTCGATTATTAAGAAAGAAAGAAAGACTGTCGATTATTAAGAAAGAAAGAAAGACTGTCGATTATTAAGAAAGAAAGACTCACTGTCGATTATTAAGAAAGAAAGACTCACTGTCGATTATTAAGAAAGAAAGACTCACTGTCGATTATTAAGAAAGAAAGAAAGACTCACTGTCGATTATTAAGAAAGAATTTGAATTTGAATTTATTGTTGAGGATAACCCCTTGAGATGAAACATCTCGTTTTCGAGAAAGAAAGAAAGAAAGACTCTCGCTGTCGATTATTAAGAAAGAAAGAAAGACTCACTGTCGATTATTAAGAAAGAAAGAAAGACTGTCGATTATTAAGAAAGAAAGAAAGACTCACTGTCGATTATTAAGAAAGAAAGAAAGACTCACTGTCGATTATTAAGAAAGAATTTGAATTTGAATTTATTGTTGAGGATAACCCCTTGAGATGAAACATCTCGTTTTCGAGAAAGAAAGAAAGAAAGACTCTCGCTGTCGATTATTAAGAAAGAAAGAAAGACTCACTGTCGATTATTAAGAAAGACTGTCGATTATTAAGAAAGAAAGAAAGACTGTCGATTATTAAGAAAGAAAGAAAGACTCACTGTCGATTATTAAGAAAGAAAGAAAGACTCACTGTCGATTATTAAGAAAGAATTTGAATTTGAATTTATTGTTGAGGATAACCCCTTGAGATGAAACATCTCGTTTTCGAGAAAGAAAGAAAGAAAGTCTTTTGCTGTCGATTATTAAGAAAGAAAGAAAGACTCGCTGTCGATTATTAAGAAAGAAAGAAAGACTCGCTGTCGATTATTAAGAAAGAAAGAAAGACTCGCTGTCGATTATTAAGAAAGAAAGAAAGACTCGCTGTCGATTATTAAGAAAGAAAGAAAGACTCACTGTCGATTATTAAGAAAGAAAGAAAGACTCACTGTCGACTCGCTGTCGATTATTAAGAAAGAAAGAAAGAAAGACTCGCTGTCGATTATTAAGAAAGAAAGAAAGACTCGCTGTCGATTATTAAGAAAGAAAGAAAGACTCGCTGTCGATTATTAAGAAAGAAAGAAAGACTCACTGTCGATTATTAAGAAAGAAAGAAAGAAAGACTGTCGATTATTAAGAAAGAAAGAAAGACTCACTGTCGATTATTAAGAAAGAAAGAAAGACTCACTGTCGATTATTAAGAAAGAAAGAAAGACTCACTGTCGATTATTAAGAAAGAATTTGAATTTGAATTTATTGTTGAGGATAACCCCTTGAGATGAAACATCTCGTTTTCGAGAAAGAAAGAAAGAAAGTCTTTTGCTGTCGATTATTAAGAAAGAAAGAAAGACTCGCTGTCGATTATTAAGAAAGAAAGAAAGACTCGCTGTCGATTATTAAGAAAGAAAGAAAGACTCGCTGTCGATTATTAAGAAAGAAAGAAAGACTCGCTGTCGATTATTAAGAAAGAAAGAAAGACTCACTGTCGATTATTAAGAAAGAAAGAAAGACTCACTGTCGATTATTAAGAAAGAAAGAAAGACTCACTGTCGACTCGCTGTCGATTATTAAGAAAGAAAGAAAGACTCGCTGTCGATTATTAAGAAAGAAAGAAAGACTCGCTGTCGATTATTAAGAAAGAAAGAAAGACTCGCTGTCGATTATTAAGAAAGAAAGAAAGACTCACTGTCGATTATTAAGAAAGAAAGAAAGAAAGACTGTCGATTATTAAGAAAGAAAGAAAGACTCACTGTCGATTATTAAGAAAGAAAGAAAGACTCACTGTCGATTATTAAGAAAGAAAGAAAGACTCACTGTCGATTATTAAGAAAGAATTTGAATTTGAATTTATTGTTGAGGATAACCCCTTGAGATGAAACATCTCGTTTTCGAGAAAGAAAGAAAGAAAGACTCTCGCTGTCGATTATTAAGAAAGAAAGAAAGACTCGCTGTCGATTATTAAGAAAGAAAGAAAGACTCGCTGTCGATTATTAAGAAAGAAAGAAAGACTCGCTGTCGATTATTAAGAAAGAAAGAAAGACTCGCTGTCGATTATTAAGAAAGAAAGAAAGACTCACTGTCGATTATTAAGAAGGAAAGAAAGACTCGCTGTCGATTATTAAGACAGAAAGAAATACTCACTGTCGACTCGCTGTCGATTATTAAGAAAGAAAGAAAGACTCGCTGTCGATTATTAAGAAAGAAAGAAAGACTCGCTGTCGATTATTAAGAAAGAAAGACTCACTGCCGATTATTAAGAAAGAAAGAAAGACTCACTGCCGATTATTAAGAAAGAAAGAAAGACTCACTGTCGATTATTAAGAAAGAAAGAAAGAAAGACTCACTGTCGATTATTAAGAAAGAAAGACTCACTGTCGATTATTAAGAAAGAAAGACTCACTGTCGATTATTAAGAAAGAAAGACTCACTGTCGATTATTAAGAAAGAAAGACTCACTGTCGATTATTAAGAAAGAAAGACTCACTGTCGATTATTAAGAAAGAAAGACTCACTGTCGATTATTAAGAAAGAAAGAAAGACTCACTGTCGATTATTAAGAAAGAAAGAAAGACTCGCTGTCGATTATTAAGAAAGAAAGAAAGACTCACTGTCGATTATTAAGAAAGAAAGAAAGACTCACTGTCGATTATTAAGAAAGAAAGAAAGAAAGAAAGAAAGAAAGAAAGACTCACTGTCGATTATTAAGAAAGAAAGAAAGACTCACGTCGATTATTAAGAAAGAAAGAAAGACTCACTGTTGATTATTAAGAAAGAAAGAAAGACTGTCGATTATTAAGAAAGAAAGACTCACTGTCGATTATTAAGAAAGAAAGAAAGACTCGCTGTCGATTATTAAGAAAGAAGTTCTTCAGTTCTTCAGTTCTTCTGTTGTGTGCCGTTCACAGGGAAAGCTGCTCACAGAAAGAGTGAGAAGAAGAAAGCGGTGAAAGCATCCGAGGGTGTCAGTGGCGGTTCGTTCGCTCCCGAGCGAGTCGGTGAGTCGATTCACTCAGTGACTCACTCGTTATTGAACCGCAAACGAACATGATGTGTGTGAGACTCTAATGAAGCTGCACATCTTCACAATATAATAGTCTCAATATATTATTATAACAATAATTGAAGATCTAATTCTGAAAGAGACATCCTGTCCTCAGTTATTAAGGTTTTGGGGGAGATTTTAGTTATTTTTACCACAGTAATAATAGACCCCAACCCATTGACAGCTTTATTTGGGGTTATAAGTAATATATAAGTATAAGTATAATTTAAATATAAGTAATTTAAGAGGTTAATTAGGTAAAGGATTTTTACAGCAGCTCTAGAATAAAGTTATTGTCCAGATAAAGTTAGTTTTGATTGATTCACTTCCGTTGCAAAGATCATTAGTTATTAACTTATGGGCCGCTAACACGACACCGCTCTACAGAACACAGAAACTGTTAATGTGTTCCGGCCGTTCATTCACACGACTACAGTGTTTGGTGCTCGAGAACGCAAACTTTGAAATCTTTGAAACTTTGGAAATCATTATTGCCTGTTTAAATAAAGGTAGATCTCAGATTCTTGTCTTCTCTGACAGACTGTCCTCCGCTGGGTCTGGAGACGCTGAACATCGATGACTTCCAGCTCCACGCATCCAGCATGAGGCACTACGGTCTGGGGCCGCACAGGGGCCGACTGAACATCCAGGTGTGTGTGTGTGTGTGTGTGTGAAATGTTGCCAGTGTTTCTGCTCTTCGTCTGTTGTTACTCAGATCTCAGACCCGTTCAGCTCAATCTTTGCCTCATCTGGATCCACTTTGCACAGAATTTGCTCTTTGTTTTCCGCTGCTCTTGATGAAAACAGAACGACAAACTAAAGCAGGAATGATCAGCTGGAAACTTCAGAGAGACAGCCGTGTGAAACTGACCCAGTTTCTGCTGAGATCCGCTGTGAGTCACAGAAAGCGTTACGCAGCTGCGCTCGAGTCCAGAACATCATTATGAAGGATCATTCTGACCCGCACGACCTCGAGGATCCTTAACAAGTTTACAAAGTGGCTTCATTCACACTGTTATGCTGATGATACTCAGCTCTATATCTCTTCACATCCCGATGAAACTTGCCTATTCAAGAAATTAACGGAATGCAGAGCTGATATAAAAATTTGATGACTAGTAATTTCCTACTACTTAATTCTGAAAAACAGAGTTTCTGAGTTTCTAATGATTGGACCAAAAACTTCCTCACGTAATAACCTAGAATACTGTCTAACACTTGATGGCTGCTCTGCCAAGTCCTCGTCGTCGGTTAGGAACCTGTGTGTGTGTGTGTGTGTGTGTGTAGGTGTGGGTGTGTGTGTGTGTGTGTGTGTGTGTGTAGGTGTCCTCTTTAATACCAGTCTTTCATTTGAAAGTCATGTTTCTAGTATCTGTAAAACCACATTCTTCCATCTTAAAAATATATCTAAATTACGTCATATGCTCTCATTGACGAATGTGGAAGAGTTAGTTCATGCGTTCATGACCTCAAGGCTAGATTACTGTAATGCTCTACTGGGTGGTTGCCCTGCACGCATAATAAACAAACTACAGCTGGTCCAAAACGCTGCAGCTCGAGTTCTTACCAGAACCAGGAAGTATGACCATATTAGCCCGGTTCTGTCAACAACTGTCTCACTGCTGAGTTAATGGTGTGTGTGTGTGTGTGTGTGTGTGTAGGGTGGTCTGCAAGAGGATGACCTGTATGATGGAGGCTGGTGTGCTGGAAGGATTGACCCGCTGCAGTGGTTAGAGGTCGACGCTCGCAGACTCATGAAGTTCACCGGGGTCGTCACTCAGGGGCGGAGCTCACTCTGGTCGTGAGTACACAACACACACACACACACACACACACAACTCTTACTGTCGTCACTCAGGGGCGGAGCTCACTCTTGTCGTGAGTACACAACACACACACACACACACAACTCTTACTGTCGTCACTCAGGGGCGGAGCTCACTCTTGTCGTGAGTACACAACACACACACACACACACAACTCTTACTGTCGTCACTCAGGGGCGGAGCTCACTCTTGTCGTGAGTACACAACACACACACACACACACACACACAACTCTTACTGTCGTCACTCAGGGGCGGAGCTCACTCTTGTCGTGAGTACACAACACACACACACACACACAACTCTTACTGTCGTCACTCAGGGGCGGAGCTCACTCTTGTCGTGAGTACACAACACACACACACACACACACACAACTCTTACTGTCGTCACTCAGGGGCGGAGCTCACTCTTGTCGTGAGTACACAACACGCTCTCTACACAACACCACAACTGATCCAGTGTACACACAAGGCCCATGGGTTTGACTGTAAGGGATTGCATGAACTGATCCAGTGAAAGCCTCGAATGCAATGTCAAATCTGTCAAATGCATATACATAAATGTTAGATTATAAAGCAGTGATCTACTTTTGTGGTGTTGTGGTGTTGTTTGTGTCTCAGAGCACACACCTGTATCATATAATATGTATCTTACTGTATAGAAATGACATAAAAATAAGTCAAATTTAACCTACGCTTCATGTGTCATTTGTGCAGTGAGAGATTCAACGAGAATCTGTTCATAAGCTCATCAGTGGCTGATTATCGTGTTTTGCTGATTTATTGCTTGTTCTTCAGGCTTGACACTCTTCTAGCTGCACATGAGTCGTGTTCTTCTCTCCAGATGTGACGCAGTGTGTGTGTGTGTGTGTTGCAGGAGTGATTGGGTGAGCTCATATAAAGTTCTGCTCAGTAATGACTCTCACAGCTGGGTGACACTGAAGAACGGCTCCAGAGATCTGGTGAGACACCGAACACACCCTTCACATCAGCTGATACACACACACACACACACACACACACACACACACAGCTGTAACTGTAACCCAGTGTTTCTGCGCCTCAGTAGATTTTCTCTGGGAACCGAGAGAAGGAGATTCCCGTCCTCAACACCTTCCCCAAACCTGTAGTCGCTCGTTACATTCGCATAAACCCTCGATCCTGGTTCCCCGGCGGCGGCATCTGCATGCGTGTGGAGATCCTGGGCTGCCCGATGCCAGGTGACACACACACACACACACACACTGTTATGGATTACATTATCCAGTTCCATCTATTGAAGATCAGAGTCACGCCGGTATGGAGACGGGTTTGTGTCGATGAGGCCTTCACAGGGGAGAGGCTAGATGCAGCCTAATAATAACTAAACACACACACACACTCACACACTCTCTCTTACACACACACACACACACACACACACACAAACACACTCTCACACACTCAGCTCGAAAAAAAGTAAGTGAATCCCTGATCCAGACAAGATCAAAGCTTTAATTCTTTCTCGTGTTTTTTTAATGCTTTCAGATCCAAACAATTATTACCGGAGAAGAAATGAAGTGACGACGACAGACGACCTGGACTTCAGACACCACAGTTATAAAGAGATGAGACAGGTGTGTGTGTGTGTTCAGCTGATGAAGGTGGTGAACGAGAAGTGTGTGTGTGTGTGTGTTTAGCTGATGAAGGTGGTGAACGAGAAGTGTGTGTGTGTGTGTTCAGCTGATGAAGGTGGTGAACGAGAAGTGTGTGTGAGTGTGTTCAGCTGATGAAGGTGGTGAACGAGAAGTGTGTGTGAGTGTGTTCAGCTGATGAAGGTGGTGAACGAGAAGTGTGTGTGTGTGTGTGTTCAGCTGATGAAGGTGGTGAACGAGAAGTGTGTGTGTGTGTGTTCAGCTGATGAAGGTGGTGAACGAGAAGTGTGTGTGAGTGTGTTCAGCTGATGAAGGTGGTGAACGAGAAGTGTGTGTGTGTGTGTTCAGCTGATGAAGGTGGTGAACGAGAAGTGTGTGTGTGTTCAGCTGATGAAGGTGGTGAACGAGAAGTGTGTGTGTGTGTGTGTTCAGCTGATGAAGGTGGTGAACGAGAAGTGTGTGTGTGTGTGTGTGTTCAGCTGATGAAGGTGGTGAACGAGAAGTGTGTGTGAGTGTGTTCAGCTGATGAAGGTGGTGAACGAGAAGTGTGTGTGTGTGTGTGTTCAGCTGATGAAGGTGGTGAACGAGAAGTGTGTGTGATTGTGTTCAGCTGATGAAGGTGGTGAACGAGAAGTGTGTGTGAGTGTGTTCAGCTGATGAAGGTGGTGAACGAGAAGTGTGTGTGAGTGTGTTCAGCTGATGAAGGTGGTGAACGAGAAGTGTGTGTGAGTGTGTTCAGCTGATGAAGGTGGTGAACGAGAAGTGTGTGTGAGTGTGTTCAGCTGATGAAGGTGGTGAACGAGAAGTGTGTGTGTGTGTGTGTTCAGCTGATGAAGGTGGTGAACGAGAAGTGTGTGTGTGTGTGTTCAGCTGATGAAGGTGGTGAACGAGAAGTGTGTGTGAGTGTGTTCAGCTGATGAAGGTGGTGAACGAGAAGTGTGTGTGTGTGATTGTGTTCAGCTGATGAAGGTGGTGAACGAGAAGTGTGTGTGAGTGTGTTCAGCTGATGAAGGTGGTGAACGAGAAGTGTGTGTGAGTGTGTTCAGCTGATGAAGGTGGTGAACGAGAAGTGTGTGTGAGTGTGTTCAGCTGATGAAGGTGGTGAACGAGAAGTGTGTGTGAGTGTGTTCAGCTGATGAAGGTGGTGAACGAGAAGTGTGTGTGAGTGTGTTCAGCTGATGAAGGTGGTGAACGAGAAGTGTGTGTGAGTGTGTTCAGCTGATGAAGGTGGTGAACGAGAAGTGTGTGTGTGTGATTGTGTTCAGCTGATGAAGGTGGTGAACGAGAAGTGTGTGTGAGTGTGTTCAGCTGATGAAGGTGGTGAACGAGAAGTGTGTGTGAGTGTGTTCAGCTGATGAAGGTGGTGAACGAGAAGTGTGTGTGTGTGTGTTCAGCTGATGAAGGTGGTGAACGAGAAGTGTGTGTGTGTGTGTGTGTTCAGCTGATGAAGGTGGTGAACGAGAAGTGTGTGTGTGTGTGTTCAGCTGATGAAGGTGGTGAACGAGAAGTGTGTGTGTGTTCAGCTGATGAAGGTGGTGAACGAGAAGTGTGTGTGAGTGTGTTCAGCTGATGAAGGTGGTGAACGAGAAGTGTGTGTGAGTGTGTTCAGCTGATGAAGGTGGTGAACGAGAAGTGTGTGTGTGTGTGTTCAGCTGATGAAGGTGGTGAACGAGAAGTGTGTGTGAGTGTGTTCAGCTGATGAAGGTGGTGAACGAGAAGTGTGTGTGAGTGTGTTCAGCTGATGAAGGTGGTGAACGAGAAGTGTGTGTGTGTGTGTTCAGCTGATGAAGGTGGTGAACGAGAAGTGTGTGTGAGTGTGTTCAGCTGATGAAGGTGGTGAACGAGAAGTGTGTGTGAGTGTGTTCAGCTGATGAAGGTGGTGAACGAGAAGTGTGTGTGTGTGTGTGTTCAGCTGATGAAGGTGGTGAACGAGAAGTGTGTGTGTGTGTGTTCAGCTGATGAAGGTGGTGAACGAGAAGTGTGTGTGTGTGTGTTCAGCTGATGAAGGTGGTGAACGAGAAGTGTGTGTGTGTGTGTTCAGCTGATGAAGGTGGTGAACGAGAAGTGTGTGTGTGTGTGTTCAGCTGATGAAGGTGGTGAACGAGAAGTGTGTGTGTGTGTGTTCAGCTGATGAAGGTGGTGAACGAGAAGTGTGTGTGAGTGTGTTCAGCTGATGAAGGTGGTGAACGAGAAGTGTGTGTGAGTGTGTTCAGCTGATGAAGGTGGTGAACGAGAAGTGTGTGTGTGTGTGTTCAGCTGATGAAGGTGGTGAACGAGAAGTGTGTGTGAGTGTGTTCAGCTGATGAAGGTGGTGAACGAGAAGTGTGTGTGTGTGTGTTCAGCTGATGAAGGTGGTGAACGAGAAGTGTGTGTGAGTGTGTTCAGCTGATGAAGGTGGTGAACGAGAAGTGTGTGTGAGTGTGTTCAGCTGATGAAGGTGGTGAACGAGAAGTGTGTGTGTGTGTGTTCAGCTGATGAAGGTGGTGAACGAGAAGTGTGTGTGAGTGTGTTCAGCTGATGAAGGTGGTGAACGAGAAGTGTGTGTGAGTGTGTTCAGCTGATGAAGGTGGTGAACGAGAAGTGTGTGTGTGTGTGTTCAGCTGATGAAGGTGGTGAACGAGAAGTGTGTGTGTGTGTGTGTTCAGCTGATGAAGGTGGTGAACGAGAAGTGTGTGTGAGTGTGTTCAGCTGATGAAGGTGGTGAACGAGAAGTGTGTGTGTGTGTGTTCAGCTGATGAAGGTGGTGAACGAGAAGTGTGTGTGTGTGTGTTCAGCTGATGAAGGTGGTGAACGAGAAGTGTGTGTGAGTGTGTTCAGCTGATGAAGGTGGTGAACGAGAAGTGTGTGTGTGTGTGTTCAGCTGATGAAGGTGGTGAACGAGAAGTGTGTGTGAGTGTGTTCAGCTGATGAAGGTGGTGAACGAGAAGTGTGTGTGAGTGTGTTCAGCTGATGAAGGTGGTGAACGAGAAGTGTGTGTGTGTTCAGCTGATGAAGGTGGTGAACGAGAAGTGTGTGTGTGAGTGTGTTCAGCTGATGAAGGTGGTGAACGAGAAGTGTGTGTGAGTGTGTTCAGCTGATGAAGGTGGTGAACGAGAAGTGTGTGTGTGTGTGTTCAGCTGATGAAGGTGGTGAACGAGAAGTGTGTGTGAGTGTGTTCAGCTGATGAAGGTGGTGAACGAGAAGTGTGTGTGAGTGTGTTCAGCTGATGAAGGTGGTGAACGAGAAGTGTGTGTGAGTGTGTTCAGCTGATGAAGGTGGTGAACGAGAAGTGTGTGTGTGTGTGTTCAGCTGATGAAGGTGGTGAACGAGAAGTGTGTGTGAGTGTGTTCAGCTGATGAAGGTGGTGAACGAGAAGTGTGTGTGAGTGTGTTCAGCTGATGAAGGTGGTGAACGAGAAGTGTGTGTGTGTGTGTTCAGCTGATGAAGGTGGTGAACGAGAAGTGTGTGTGTGTGTGTTCAGCTGATGAAGGTGGTGAACGAGAAGTGTGTGTGAGTGTGTTCAGCTGATGAAGGTGGTGAACGAGAAGTGTGTGTGAGTGTGTTCAGCTGATGAAGGTGGTGAACGAGAAGTGTGTGTGAGTGTGTTCAGCTGATGAAGGTGGTGAACGAGAAGTGTGTGTGAGTGTGTTCAGCTGATGAAGGTGGTGAACGAGAAGTGTGTGTGAGTGTGTTCAGCTGATGAAGGTGGTGAACGAGAAGTGTGTGTGAGTGTGTTCAGCTGATGAAGGTGGTGAACGAGAAGTGTGTGTGAGTGTGTTCAGCTGATGAAGGTGGTGAACGAGAAGTGTGTGTGAGTGTGTTCAGCTGATGAAGGTGGTGAACGAGAAGTGTGTGTGAGTGTGTTCAGCTGATGAAGGTGGTGAACGAGAAGTGTGTGTGTGTGTGTTCAGCTGATGAAGGTGGTGAACGAGAAGTGTGTGTGAGTGTGTTCAGCTGATGAAGGTGGTGAACGAGAAGTGTGTGTGAGTGTGTTCAGCTGATGAAGGTGGTGAACGAGAAGTGTGTGTGAGTGTGTTCAGCTGATGAAGGTGGTGAACGAGAAGTGTGTGTGAGTGTGTTCAGCTGATGAAGGTGGTGAACGAGAAGTGTGTGTGAGTGTGTTCAGCTGATGAAGGTGGTGAACGAGAAGTGTGTGTGAGTGTGTTCAGCTGATGAAGGTGGTGAACGAGAAGTGTGTGTGTGTGTGTTCAGCTGATGAAGGTGGTGAACGAGAAGTGTGTGTGAGTGTGTTCAGCTGATGAAGGTGGTGAACGAGAAGTGTGTGTGAGTGTGTTCAGCTGATGAAGGTGGTGAACGAGAAGTGTGTGTGAGTGTGTTCAGCTGATGAAGGTGGTGAACGAGAAGTGTGTGTGAGTGTGTTCAGCTGATGAAGGTGGTGAACGAGAAGTGTGTGTGAGTGTGTTCAGCTGATGAAGGTGGTGAACGAGAAGTGTGTGTGTGTGTGTTCAGCTGATGAAGGTGGTGAACGAGAAGTGTGTGTGAGTGTGTTCAGCTGATGAAGGTGGTGAACGAGAAGTGTGTGTGAGTGTGTTCAGCTGATGAAGGTGGTGAACGAGAAGTGTGTGTGAGTGTGTTCAGCTGATGAAGGTGGTGAACGAGAAGTGTGTGTGAGTGTGTTCAGCTGATGAAGGTGGTGAACGAGAAGTGTGTGTGAGTGTGTTCAGCTGATGAAGGTGGTGAACGAGAAGTGTGTGTGAGTGTGTTCAGCTGATGAAGGTGGTGAACGAGAAGTGTGTGTGAGTGTGTTCAGCTGATGAAGGTGGTGAACGAGAAGTGTGTGTGAGTGTGTTCAGCTGATGAAGGTGGTGAACGAGAAGTGTGTGTGAGTGTGTTCAGCTGATGAAGGTGGTGAACGAGAAGTGTGTGTGTGTGTGTTCAGCTGATGAAGGTGGTGAACGAGAAGTGTGTGTGAGTGTGTTCAGCTGATGAAGGTGGTGAACGAGAAGTGTGTGTGTGTGTGTTCAGCTGATGAAGGTGGTGAACGAGAAGTGTGTGTGTGTGTGTTCAGCTGATGAAGGTGGTGAACGAGAAGTGTGTGTGAGTGTGTTCAGCTGATGAAGGTGGTGAACGAGAAGTGTGTGTGAGTGTGTTCAGCTGATGAAGGTGGTGAACGAGAAGTGTGTGTGTGTGTGTTCAGCTGATGAAGGTGGTGAACGAGAAGTGTGTGTGTGTGTGTTCAGCTGATGAAGGTGGTGAACGAGAAGTGTGTGTGTGTGTGTTCAGCTGATGAAGGTGGTGAACGAGAAGTGTGTGTGAGTGTGTTCAGCTGATGAAGGTGGTGAACGAGAAGTGTGTGTGAGTGTGTTCAGCTGATGAAGGTGGTGAACGAGAAGTGTGTGTGAGTGTGTTCAGCTGATGAAGGTGGTGAACGAGAAGTGTGTGTGTGTGTGTTCAGCTGATGAAGGTGGTGAACGAGAAGTGTGTGTGAGTGTGTTCAGCTGATGAAGGTGGTGAACGAGAAGTGTGTGTGAGTGTGTTCAGCTGATGAAGGTGGTGAACGAGAAGTGTGTGTGAGTGTGTTCAGCTGATGAAGGTGGTGAACGAGAAGTGTGTGTGAGTGTGTTCAGCTGATGAAGGTGGTGAACGAGAAGTGTGTGTGAGTGTGTTCAGCTGATGAAGGTGGTGAACGAGAAGTGTGTGTGAGTGTGTTCAGCTGATGAAGGTGGTGAACGAGAAGTGTGTGTGTGTGTGTTCAGCTGATGAAGGTGGTGAACGAGAAGTGTGTGTGATTGTGTTCAGCTGATGAAGGTGGTGAACGAGAAGTGTGTGTGTGTGTGTTCAGCTGATGAAGGTGGTGAACGAGAAGTGTGTGTGAGTGTGTTCAGCTGATGAAGGTGGTGAACGAGAAGTGTGTGTGAGTGTGTTCAGCTGATGAAGGTGGTGAACGAGAAGTGTGTGTGAGTGTGTTCAGCTGATGAAGGTGGTGAACGAGAAGTGTGTGTGTGTGTGTTCAGCTGATGAAGGTGGTGAACGAGAAGTGTGTGTGTGTGTGTTCAGCTGATGAAGGTGGTGAACGAGAAGTGTGTGTGAGTGTGTTCAGCTGATGAAGGTGGTGAACGAGAAGTGTGTGTGAGTGTGTTCAGCTGATGAAGGTGGTGAACGAGAAGTGTGTGTGAGTGTGTTCAGCTGATGAAGGTGGTGAACGAGAAGTGTGTGTGTGTGTGTTCAGCTGATGAAGGTGGTGAACGAGAAGTGTGTGTGTGTGTGTTCAGCTGATGAAGGTGGTGAACGAGAAGTGTGTGTGTGTGTGTTCAGCTGATGAAGGTGGTGAACGAGAAGTGTGTGTGAGTGTGTTCAGCTGATGAAGGTGGTGAACGAGAAGTGTGTGTGTGTGTGTTCAGCTGATGAAGGTGGTGAACGAGAAGTGTGTGTGTGTGTGTTCAGCTGATGAAGGTGGTGAACGAGAAGTGTGTGTGTGTGTGTTCAGCTGATGAAGGTGGTGAACGAGAAGTGTGTGTGAGTGTGTTCAGCTGATGAAGGTGGTGAACGAGAAGTGTGTGTGTGTGTGTTCAGCTGATGAAGGTGGTGAACGAGAAGTGTGTGTGAGTGTGTTCAGCTGATGAAGGTGGTGAACGAGAAGTGTGTGTGTGTGTGTTCAGCTGATGAAGGTGGTGAACGAGAAGTGTGTGTGTGTGTGTTCAGCTGATGAAGGTGGTGAACGAGAAGTGTGTGTGAGTGTGTTCAGCTGATGAAGGTGGTGAACGAGAAGTGTGTGTGTGTGTGTTCAGCTGATGAAGGTGGTGAACGAGAAGTGTGTGTGAGTGTGTTCAGCTGATGAAGGTGGTGAACGAGAAGTGTGTGTGAGTGTGTTCAGCTGATGAAGGTGGTGAACGAGAAGTGTGTGTGTGTGTGTTCAGCTGATGAAGGTGGTGAACGAGAAGTGTCCGAACATCACGCGCATCTACAACATCGGCCGGAGCTTCAGCGGACAGAAGCTGTACGCCATCGAGATCTCGGACCGGCCCGGCGAGCACGAGCTGGGTGAGGTGCTGGACACACAGGTGACGCAGGTGTGTGTGTGTGACGGGGGATCACAGCGTGTGTGTGTGTGTGTGTTCGCAGGCGAGCCCGAGTTCCGCTACACGGCCGGTTCCCACGGTAACGAGGTTCTGGGCCGCGAGCTGCTGCTGCTGCTCATGCAGTTCATGTGTCAGGAGTATCTGAGCGGAAACACACGCGTACGCCACCTAGTGGAGGAGACGCGCATTCACCTGCTGCCCTCCGTCAACCCCGACGGCTACGAGAAGGCCTTCGCGGCGGTAAGCACACGCCGTTACACGCTCACACTCTCCTGCTTTCATTTACACGCAACTGACGCGAGAATATTAATATACACTCACATTCTGAAGTCTCTTCTGCTCAACGAGAACATACAGTAAAACAGTAATATTGTGAAATATTAGTTCAATTACAATCGCAAAATGCAAAAATAAGACGATCATTCATGAAACATGAGATCATGTGATGACAATGTAGCAAATGACTGTCTATGTGAATGAAATATTGAAATATTACTCCAATGTAAATCAGCTGTTTTCTATGTGAATATACAGTAAAGTGTAATTTATTCCTGTGATCAAAGCTGAATGTTCAGCATCATTACTCCAGTCTTCAGTGTCACATGATCCTTCAGAAATCACTCTAATATGATGATCTGATGCTCAAGACACATTTATAATTATTATCAGTGTTGAAAACAGTTAATATTTCTGTGGAAACTGTGATACGTTTTATTTTTCAGGATTCTTTGATGAATAGAAAGTTCAAAAGAACAGCATTTATTTGAAATAGAATCTTTTGTAACATTATAAAGGTCTTAACTCTCGGTTTAGATCAGTGTAATGCTGGTCTCTCTGTGTGTGTGTGTGTGTGTGTGTGTGTGTGTGTGTGTGTGTGTGTGTGCAGGGCTCTGAGCTCAGCGGATGGACTCTGGGCCGCTGGAGTCACGACGGCCTCGACATCCATCATAACTTCCCTGATCTCAGCTCTGTCCTCTGGGAGGCGGAGAACCGGAACTGGGTCCCGCGCAAATTCCACAACCATCACATACCCATCCCGGACTGGTACCGCTCCGAGAACGCCAGCGTACGTTAGCATGTGTGTGTGATCAACGTTCGTCTGGAGTCACGACACGCTTCATGAGATCAGATTCTCAAACAGCTACAGTTGATTGATACTTTTATCAGATATTTCAGTTGAAAAGTCATTGGTTATTGGTTTGAAATCTAGATTTGTGACAATAGTGTTGCCATTCAGCTCAATCCAGTTAAAGTTTTATTCTTGATAATAATCGATAATATTACTGAGTATTGTCTTTCAAACCCAGATATATAACATTACACAGCACTATTGAACTGCTGCAGTCTCGTGTCTCTTGCTCTAAATCACTCTGACCCCTGACCTCTGACCCCAGGTGGCCGTGGAGACACGCGCTCTGGTGTCGTGGATGGAGAAGATCCCGTTCGTGTTGGGGGGGAACCTGCAGGGCGGCGAGCTGGTGGTGTCGTTCCCGTTTGACCGCACGCGCTCCGAGACGCTCCGGCACCCGACGCCCACGGCCGACGATCACGTGTTCCGCTGGCTAGCGTTCTCCTACGCCTCCACACACCGGCTCATGACCCACGCCAGCCGCAGGGTCTGCCACACACACGACTTCGCCAAGGAGGACGGCACCGTCAACGGCGCCTCGTGGCACACGGCCGCAGGAAGTGAGGTCATCAGCAGCACACCTGATCTCTGATGGTGAGGGTCGTCGGTTTCGTTAACGGGTTGTTGTTCGTTAACAGGTATGAATGACTTCAGTTACCTGCACACCAACTGCTTCGAGCTCTCCATGTACGTGGGCTGTGACAAATACCCTCATGAGAGCGAACTACCAGAGGAGTGGGAGAATAACCGCGAGTCTCTGCTCGTCTTCATGGAACAGGTGATCTCACACACACACACAAACACACACACACTCACACGCGCACACACACACACGTGCGCACACACACACACACGCTCACACACACACTCTCAGACACATGAGTATGCATGATGTTGTCAGCCGGAACCGGGCCGTATCCAGATCAGATGGAGGACCTGCGCCTAGACACGACCACAACACATGATGTAGTCAGCCGGATCCGGGCCGTATCCAGATCAGATGGAGGACCTGCGCCTAGACACGACCACAACACATGATGTAGTCAGCCGGAACCGGGCCGTATCCAGATCAGATGGAGGACCTGCGCCTAGACACGACCACAACGTATGATGTAGTCAGCCGGATCCGGGCCGTATCCAGATCAGATGGAGGACCTGCGCCTAGACACGACCACAACACATGATGTAGTCAGCCGGATCCGGGCCGTATCCAGATCAGATGGAGGACCTGTGCCTAGACACGGCCACAACGCATGATGTAGTCAGCCGGATCCGGGCCGTATCCAGTCAGATGGTGGACCTGCGCCTAGACACGACCACAACACATGATGGAGTCAGCCGGATCCGGGCCGTATCCAGATCAGATGGTGGACCTGCGCCTAGACACGACCACAACACACGATGTAGTCAGCCGGATCCGGGCCGTATCCAGATCAGATGGAGGACCTGTGCCTAGACACGACCACAACACATGATGGAGTCAGCCGGATCCGGGCCGTATCCAGATCAGATGGTGCACCTGCGCCTAGACACGACCACAACACACGATGTAGTCAGCCGGATCCGGGCCGTATCCAGTCAGATGGTGGACCTGCGCCTAGACACGACCACAACACATGATGGAGTCAGCCGGATCCGGGCCGTATCCAGATCAGATGGTGGACCTGCGCCTAGACACGACCACAACACATGATGGAGTCAGCCGGATCCGGGCCGTATCCAGATCAGATGGTGGACCTGCGCCTAGACACGACCACAACACACGATGTAGTCAGCCGGATCCGGGCCGTATCCAGATCAGATGGAGGACCTGTGCCTAGACACGGCCACAACGCATGATGTAGTCAGCCGGATCCGGGCCGTATCCAGATCAGATGGTGGACCTGCGCCTAGACACGACCACAACACACGATGTAGTCAGCCAGATCCGGGCCGTATCCAGATCAGATGGAGGACCTGTGCCTAGACACGGCCACAACGCATGATGTAGTCAGCCGGATCCGGGCCGTATCCAGATCAGATGGTGGACCTGCGCCTAGACACGACCACAACACATGATGGAGTCAGCCGGATCCGGGCCGTATCCAGATCAGATGGAGGACCTGCGCCTAGACACGACCACAACACATGATGTAGTCAGCCGGAACCGGGCCGTATCCAGATCAGATGGAGGACCTGCGCCTAGACACGGCCACAACACATGATGTAGTCAGCCGGATCCGGGCCGTATCCAGATCAGATGGTGGACCTGCGCCTAGACACGACCACAACACATGATGTAGTCAGCCGGATCCGGGCCGTATCCAGATCAGATGGAGGACCTGCGCCTAGACACGACCACAACACATGATGTAGTCAGCCGGATCCGGGCCGTATCCAGATCAGATGGTGGACCTGCGCCTAGACACGACCACAACACATGATGGAGTCAGCCGGATCCGGGCCGTATCCAGATCAGATGGTGGACCTGCGCCTAGACACGACCACAACACACGATGTAGTCAGCCGGATCCGGGCCGTATCCAGATCAGATGGAGGACCTGCGCCTAGACACGACCACAACACATGATGTAGTCAGCCGGAACCGGGCCGTATCCAGATCAGATGGTGGACCTGCGCCTAGACACGACCACAACGCATGATGTAGTCAGCCGGATCCGGGCCGTATCCAGATCAGATGGAGGACCTGCGCCTAGACACGACCACAACACATGATGTAGTCAGCCGGAACCGGGCCGTATCCAGATCAGATGGTGGACCTGCGCCTAGACACGACCACAACGCATGATGTTGTCAGCCGGATCCGGGCCGTATCCAGATCAGATGGAGGACCTGCGCCTAGACACGACCACAACGCATGATGTAGTCAGCCGGATCCGGGCCGTATCCAGATCAGATGGAGGACCTGCGCCTAGACACGACCACAACACATGATGTAGTCAGCCGAATCCGGGCCGTATCCAGATCAGATGGAGGACCTGCGCCTAGACACGACCACAACGCATGATGTAGTCAGCCGGATCCGGGCCGTATCCAGATCAGATGGAGGACCTGCGCCTAGACACGACCACAACGCATGATGTAGTCAGCCGGATCCGGGCCGTATCCAGATGAGATGGTGGACCTGCGCCTAGACACGACCACAACGCATGATGTAGTCAGCCGGATCCGGGCCGTATCCAGATCAGATGGAGGACTTGCGCCTAGACACAACCACAACGCATGATGTAGTCAGCCGGAACCGGGCCGTATCCAGATCAGATGGAGGACCTGCGCCTAGACACGACCACAACACATGATGTAGTCAGCCGGAACCGGGCCGTATCCAGATCAGATGGAGGACCTGCGCCTAGACACGACCACAACGCATGATGTAGTCAGCCGTATCCGGGCCGTATCCAGATCAGATGGAGGACCTGCGCCTAGACACGACCACAACGCATGATGTAGTCAGCCGGATCCGGGCCGTATCCAGATGAGATGGAGGACCTGCGCCTAGACACGACCACAAAACATGATGGAGTCAGCCGGATCCGGGCCGTATCCAGATCAGATGGAGGACCTGGGCCTAGACACGACCACAACACATGATGTAGTCAGCCGGAACCGGGCCGTATCCAGA